ACAAAAGCATGAAGTAAGTAGTTAAAATTTATTTTTAACCTTTTCAATTCTAATTTTACATTTTTTGTGGCATTTATATTTATTAGTAACTAATTGAGATGAAATAGGGTTTAAATTATAACTTGCAATAAAGGGTAAATAACTTAAAACATAAAAAGATTTTCTTAATTATTTACTTTACTGCTTTTTGCCTCTAGACTTTCGACCAAAACGGTTTATTTTGTCGTTCGTAAAGCATTGGAGTACAATTATTTGCCAGTATCTGTTATCGCGAAGACGGTGCGCTTTGCCATCTTTTTTTTATAGGATAGGGTGACAAACGAGCACACAATCCACTTGAAGATCTGGCCCAAAGATGTCTAAATCTGTGTCCGTAAATGTCTAAAACATCGAACACCATCTAGAAGAATACAATTCATCTTAATCATTACTGCTCCAGGAACAGGAAGCTGCATCGAATTTTTTTTCCTTCTTCCTTCCTAAAAATCCGACAAACGACGAAATTTTCGACCTGCAACTAAAGTAAATCTTTTCTATATATAAAAATCAATTGCTGTCCGTTAGTCTCGCCAAAATTCGAAAACAGCTGGAACGATTCGATGAAACTTTTTTTTTGTGTGTGTGTGTTGAGATCCCTGGATGGTTTAGATTCTCAATTGGATCTGGCAGGTGGCGCTGTTGTCGAGATATAGAAATCACCTGTGCGAAGCCGAGGCGGAAAGCTAGCTTAAATGTATACTACATTGTTGATTATAGTTATAATTTTTATCGTTTGGTGTATGTTGCATGTTATTTCGAGCGTTTTTAATGTCTAACTCGTGCGTTTAGTATTCAATTTAATATAATAATATGCATATAGTTAAAGGTGCATTTAAGTGTACTGTCCAAATTATAATGAAAACAATATATATTTATATATATATATATATATATATATATACACCTATATATATATATATATATATATATATATATATATATATATATTTTCTTTGTTGAATTGGAATTATTGCCGAATTGTCTCATTTACTTGATTATTTTTCTTATATTTCTCTATTGATATTGAAAGGTGAATAGTTAGCCTTCGTTCACCGCTCTATAAATTACTGCCCAAATAGATGTCATCATTAGATTATGTGTTGTAAACTGTGGCTTCTCTAGTACGTAGTACATATAACTCAATGGTTGTAAATATAATGAAAAACTAGGTCCATAAGTTTTTGTTTTAAAGAAATATTGCGTACGATATACGTTGTTAAGAAATATGTAGATATTATAGCATATGACTTATAATATAAAAATATAGATATATAAATATCTATATTTTAGACTTAAACTATACTGAATTACTAGAAAAGAACGTACAGAACTAGATTAAGGTGTACTGAATCTAATCAGACCAAAATTATTTCATTACGTAAAAGTTTAGAGAGGTGAAATCGTTATCGTCCGAAACGATATTTCTAAAAGAAAATGTAGGCAATTGCTTCCAAGACTTGCCACTCTCTCTATCGCACAATACGGCTATACGAGCGGTATGAAAACACTGGCGCCGCGTACCGGCACTTCACAATTAAGTGACACATTACCTGCGCATGAAACACGTATGTATGTAATTACTTTAATGATGATTACTCTAATGAATACATGAACGAAAGAAGTTGTAATTCGTCATTTGGATCGGTCAGTTTGAAGTTCCGACTTTGATTAAATGTGATTAGATATTTATCAGTTCCTTGTGGAATAGATCTGGAGCATGATTTTGTAATTGGTCCTTAATTCTTTAAAGAGCAAGGTATTGTAACATATAAATATTTATCACCTTTAGCAACCTCAACACGGGTGAAGTCGAATCTAGTTATATATAAAATACATACTTCTTATATACAAAATGTATAAAATTCAAATCAAATAACCAATGGCGTCCTAACAGACGCCGAAAGATACATTTTGTCTGTAGCAATTAAAATAATGTGTTATAAATCGAGACAATCAGTTTTTGAGTGGCATTTATATAACAAAAGTAATTACACCAACAATAACATACAACGAGGTAGAGCCATTCGCAACGTGCTAAAGACACGCTGCAGCTTTATTATGGTTGTAGCACGATAAGGACTGGAATGAGAAACTGCACGCTCTTACAGAACACCAGCATAAAATAACAGGTTAATGCCGCTGTGTTTTTATGGTGAGTGTAGAGAACCGGAGACCCTTAAACAAGGAATTCCATATAACTTCCAACTTAAAATAGATAATTCTCAATGGTGTGTTAAAATCGAATTTTAATCAAATTTTAAATGTAGCAAATTCAATTTACATATATGATTTATTAATCAACTACCCAATTGGAAAAAATGTTCAACACAAATTGGCGGCCTTTCTCACTATGTTGTTCACCCACCGCGGGGCACTTATTTGCAATTATATTTTCAATTTCGATATAAATTCAGCCAGCGGAGATCAAAAACGAGGTTGCTCATGTAATGTGAAAATAAACGCGAGCCCTGCCTCTGGCGCTACCACGACTTGTATTTCAATACAATGGAGTGATATTGTATTACTAAATAGTGATATATAATTTTAAAATGGTTAAATGTTATAGAGTTTTATGGTACTTATAACAAAGTTTACCTAGCAATTAGAATTGGCTCTGCAGTATATGCTGCAAAAGATCAGGAAATCTTATTACGTTTAAACATTTTAAATTTGACGATATGTGAAGCACTGGAGCTGGGCTTAAAAACAAAACCTTCCTAGTAATGAAAGCATATGCCTAAAGTTGGCGGCATAACCACCACGTTTACACTAGGCGTAAAATATATCCACATTAGCGACAGAAAGCAGCAAGCAAGACGAAATGCCCCGTTTTCACTAAAAAGGATCTCATTTTCTTTACACTTACATTTTATACGTGGTAGAGCCATGCTGCAGCTATATTAATTGTATAGTTGTAGTACGAATAAGTCGGCTCGACCGGGGAAGGACCACGCTCTTACAGAATACCAGCGTAAAATAGCAGCTTAACACTGCTGTGTTTCGTATGGTGAATGTAGAGAACCGGAGATCCTTTTTACTGGAGAAGAGGCATTCCATCTTAGTCCTCACGGGTTACAACGCTTCTGTATTTTGATTCTATATTGAGATTAGATGTAGATGTCTATGGGTCACAGCAACCACTTACCATCAGGTGGACTGTGTGCTCGTTCGTCACCCTATCCTATAAAAAAACCCATTTAGATTACTTTATATTGGTTATTTCAAGGTGCCTTATAGTGGGCTGGCGTAAATATCCACTACCCCATACAGGCGACAGAGGGAAACAAATTAGGAGACGAGAAGCAGCGTCTTCTTAATAACGAATAAAATAGAAAACTGCGATTGAGACACCAGCATGCCAAGCATGGCAACTATGGCAATGAGATTATTTATGGGGGAAGCATATGTTCAGCAGTGGACTTTAATAGACTGTAACGGGGGTTATTTAAAGAAAAAGTCTACTTCTTTTCAACTGAGAATACACTCACAATTCTTCCTCTGTTGCCGTTTGCTCTTTATGTAATAAATTTATAGCGTAATGTCGTATGGAATTATGCTATGTAGAAACTCGCCTAACTCAGAATCTAATATAAAAATCTAATTATAAATTTGTCTCATTAACGAGAGAATATAAGCCAGTGATCGATAGTGGCAACATTTTTATATACTTAACTTTATAATGTTATAAGTGTTATGACAGTGTCCACACCAAAAAGTATACTTAGTAAGTATATACAGAAATCTACACTGTACAGGACTATCGACATAGAGCAGTATCGACTCTATATATGAAGGTTTATATCATCGCTATTTAAGTAAAGTACACACACACAAAATAGTTAGTACAATTAAACTTAGAAAATAGATTCTGACATTGATACGAGTAAATTAAAGAACAACTGACTATATAATTTTTAGTATTCTAATTGATTGGAAAAGACTGGATATTAATCAGTAACGAACGTACAAGACGAGGTCGGGGCGCGGCGACTATCAGCCGGCCCGCCTAACAGCAATTATAGTGTAATGTCCCTAATAGAGCCAAGTTAGTAAATTTCAGATGGTATAAGACTGGTTTTTGTTTCTAACATTACGTAACACAAAAACTTATACTGTTGAGGGGTATGCAGAGACTATGGACTTCCATTTGGTAAGATCCAGACCACCTTTTTCGGCTCCTTAATGTCCATATACCCTACTCATTCATGCTCGTAGGTGAAGGGTATTTTGAATCTACCGCCAATTGAGTCAATTTACTAACGTCTAGTCTAACTAGCGTCCCTTGCCGATTCTGCTATTCACTTCTACAACATTAATTTGATTTGTCACTCTTTCTACATGATCGAACCACCGAAGCATTATTTTCTTAATCCTGGTCACAACATCTTCTCGTAAACCACACTATTCTATAATCACATACATTCTCACGATGATTCAGAATCGACCCTAATATACTCCTTGAAGACTGCATTTGCCCAGCATTTATTCAACTCTCGTGCTTCTTCTGCCACACTTAAATTTCACAGCCATAATATGGTATTGTTTATAGTTAACAAATAAAGTGTTTAAGAGAATTTTCATTAACAATTCTATGCCCACCATTACCCGACCACATAGCAAACGACGGTTAGTGCGCTGAAGAGGCGAATGAATTCAATAATCGAATACTTCAATTATAAAAACTTAATCAGAGAATATAGTTAACGAATATTGTTTTAAAGTCTCTAATAAAAAGCAATCTATAAAATATTAGTCTCTATCAATGAATACTCTGTGGTCACCCACACCACAGTGTCACACCCTAATCCGAAACATGTACTTTACTAAAAACGCCAGTGTTTAGTGTCTGTCGCCGCAACAGGCTGCCTTTACATAGTTTACGAATATTCGACATTTTATGTTCGTAGTACAGTATTTGACACAGTTTTCAATACAAACTGTTGACGCACCGGACACCGGGGATGGGGAACAAAGTTGTTACATTTACGGAACAGCAGCTGGAGGATTATCAGGTAAATTAATGATGCGATGATTTCACCTTTTTTAATTAGTTGTGGCTATGAGGCGTGAGGGTATCACTCAGCATTAAGCGAGTGAACAGTTCAAAAAACTTCAAAAGGAACCACATTGTTTTAGAGCGAGGTTTTTCATATGATAAAGACTTTAGTGGTTAGAGCATCTGTCTACTAAGCTCACATGGCGAGTTCTGTCGCAGTGGGGGTGTCAGTGTCAGTGTCAGTGGAGATGCAACGCCCCTTCCCAAGGGCAGTGGATCAAGCCGAGAACTAGGTCAGCGAAGATTCGCTCTCCGTTGAATACTGTCAAGGATCAGCTTGATATCAGCTATACTGGAGTGCTTGGCACACCTACATTTCATTTAGCCCATGCCGCAAGGGAGAATGTCGATTTTTTTAGGTTCTCTTTTTGCGTCCAACTCGACTCTCGCCTACGGGTATCATCTGTAAATGCCCCCATGTAGGCTGTTTGGATCACACAGTGATCAGTAGGTAAAGCATTACTCTTGGAGAGCGTCAGTCGATTAGTGACCAAATATGGTTTCCGTCGAGGTTACTCAGCTGGTGATCTTCTTGTTTAACTGACTCATTTAAGACCAAGGGAGAGTCACTGGCGGCTATTTGGACATAACGAAGGCCTTAGATCAGATTGGCTCTTTATTGCTCTTTCATAATTTTTATATAAAAACGTCTCAGTCAGACAGACTATGTAACAGAAGTCCACAGCGAGCATTGGAAGGAGTGGCATAGTAATTTTGCTGCCTATGCTCTTGTTTTGCTTTTGTTGTGCCTGCTTGCCCCGAGCAGTATTAGTGTTGAGCAGAAATTAGCCCCTCCGACAGAATACGCAAGACAACCTGAGCATTCACGCCCCGGAGGAAGATAGATAAAAAAAGATAGAAAAGAAGATAGCCAACGCCTCTCCCTTTGACTCCACTGCCTCCGCCCATCTATTCTTTAGGTAACCTACAAGATCACCAGCAGTGCGACCCCGACGGAAACCGTACTGGCGGTCACTAATCAGCTGGTGATCCTCAAGGTACCGCATGAGCTGTTAATAATCGTTTCCATTATTTTGGAGAACAAGGAGGTGATAGCGATAGGCCTGTAGTTGGCCTGTTTTTATTTTTAGTCGTTATTAGGAAGACGCTGCTGCCCATGTCCTAATTTGTTTCCCGCAGTCGCCTCTTACGACACCCACGGGATAATATGGGGTAGTAGATATACTTACACCGCCACTCTCGGTAACACCGCCTTTACAATAAACTTTTAATAAATATAATATTAATACAAATAACAATCAAATATTAATACAAACAAACCAAGGAATATCCCCACTATGAGTCAATTTATGGGGGAGGCCTATGTTCAGCAGTGGACTTGTGAAGGGCTGTAATGATGACGATGATGACTACACGGTATTACGTAAAAAGAAACAAATTGTTAAAAGATTCACTACGAATTACGATTGCGTGTCGCTTTTCCATTAAAATTCCACAAGATCATACAATTTTCATTGAACTTGCTGGCCATGCACCTTAGCCGGCTGTCTTGTTCAGCAATGAAATTACTTACTTATTAGAGGTAGTAATAATTTAAGCTTTTGTTACATTTTTAGCTCGACCTACGCTATAGTTATGCAGTATAAATTGACACAAAAGTATAATTTAGTAACTTGGGGAGAATTACTACATTTGAACGGTGAATACCTCAGTCCTCCACATCATGACAAGCATATTTCCTCGTCGTTTTTTACGTAAACCACGATATGTAATGGGGTGATAGATTTTTCATCACCTATATGCAAGTATATGTAAGCAGATAACTTGCTTCAATAATTCTGAATAAAATTCTTCAAAAATTACATATTTCTTGCACGTGACAGTTTTTGGCAGCAGAAAAAAGAGGGGATATCTCCTGCTGTGTTAAGAGCCGTGGTAGCTCAGGTGCTAAGCGCTCGCTGTAAATTTCACAGTACGCGAGCCAACCCGGTACTTGGCGGTGAAGGAAAACATCGTGGGGAATCCTCCATGTCTGAGAAATACAAAAAAAAATATTTCGTATACAAGTGAAGTTCACGAACATGCATTGGGGCATAGCGGCATACATTTCTTGCCCCAAAACCCTCTTAGAAGTGTGAGGAGGCCTGTGCTCAGCAGTGGGACGTATATAGGCTGTAACTTTAACTTTTCCCGCCATGCAAGACGTTCAGCTCGGGGAGCGGCTAATACTCCCTGTGGTACTGAGCTTATTCTATATATTGCAGAGTCGTTAGGAAATTTGGATAGCATGGTTGATTTGATGATTAACACTCCGGTTCATTTACGTTTGTCGCGCGACGACAGCACACCCACATCAACCCACTACTCAGACCAAAGTTTGATGGTCCAGTTGTTGACGAATGTGCAAGCGCCTGGAATTGTCTTGTAGTGTCCGCCAACCGCAGTTTTTTATTGTTTTGAGTTGTTATTAGGAAGATGCTGCTGCCCATCTTCTGTTTTAATTTTCCTCTGTCACCTTTAACGACACGGACTCTATGGGGCAGTGCATATTCATACACTGCACGGTTTTTTTACCAGTGTTACTAAGTGCCCTGCTGGATATGGGGTTTTTCAAGAAAGCGTCAATTGGTACGCAAAATTTAAAAGGCTTGTTCATGTACATCAAGGCAATTTTAAAATGAAAAGAATTAAAGTACGACTTCAGTAGCTTTTATGTGTACTTTTGTTTTTGAAGTCGTTTCTATTTTCTTGAAGTTTAATTATTTTCTTGCAAACTTATAATAAACCTTTCACCCTATCTCATTTCGCTTAGGGTTAACTGAGAGAGAACCCCTAAAGGCCTTAAGACCGTCTTGTAAACTTTTTTCATATAGAGTAACAAAAAAAAATGCGTATTTAAATATTTAATAATTCAAAAGCTGTAAATATGAATACAATTTATAGAATGCGTTACATTATATCGCAACGAAGAAGTCTGCATTCAGCATAAGTTGCAAGGATTGCTAGTAATATTTTCTTTGTAGAATAAGAGTGACAAACGTTTACAGTCCACCTAATTGTATGTGCATACTGTGGCCCATAGACATCTACATCTATCCTCAGATAATAATCAAAATGCAGATGTATTGTCACCTCTGAGGACTAAGATGGAATGCGGTTCTCTACACTCACCATTCAAACCACAGCAGCATTAAACTGCTATTTTACGCCGGTATTCTGTGAGAGCGTGGTCCTGCCCCGGTCGAGCCGACTCATTCGTGCTGCAACTACAATACAGTTGTAGCATGTCCAACTAAAGGTGCTATAGTTAGAGCCTACGTCCCACAGCTTGGCACAGGGCCCCTCTTATTTATGCAATTAGCCGCACTGTTCCAGTACTGGCAGACTTCACATGTGATCGAAATATTTTTAATCCTCAGACACCGAGCACACAAATATTTTTTTATAGGATAAGGGTGACAAACGAGCACACAGTCCACCTGATGGTAAGTGGTTGCTGCAGCCCATAGACATCTACATCTATCCTCGATTACAAATCAAAATGCAGATGCGTTGTCAGCCGTGAGGACTAAGATGGAATACCTCATTTCCAGTAAAAAGGGGCCTCCGGTTCTCTACACTCACCATACGAAACACAGCAGCGTTAAGCTGCTATTTTACGTTTGTATACTGTGAGAGCGTGGTCCTTCCCCGGTCGAGCCGACACATTCGTGCTACAACTATACTACTAATATAGCTGCAGCATGGCTCTACCACGTAAAATAATAATATATTGTAATAATTAAAACGTCGTATAAAAAAAAACGTGTTGCAATGATAATCTCAGGCTTAAACACTGGCTTTATAAGACTCCTTCCACGAAGGATGACTATAGCCGCAACGCCACAGCTATTGCAAAAATTTTGTAATTTTCTGTCAAATTCCATACTTTACCATCCCTTACATTTTAGTTCGAATATTTCCGCGGGAATTCTATCTTGAAGCATATTTTAGTTTAAATTTGAGGCTAATTATAAATTACTTCTTGTGATAAAACTGTTAATGTTTAAAATTTTAATGATACGAGTGAAAAATTTTAATAAGGTGTTTGGTCTAAAAACAGGACTGCACATTTTTCACGAGGAAGGAAATATTAAGGTAAGATGTAAGTGTTATATTAGTAACTTACGGTACATTAAAAAAATTATAACCAATAATGTCATCCAGGCCGAATTTCGGTCACGGCAGCCAGTCTCAACGCACACTAGCCATCGGCGCAGGAGATGGTTATAGTGCCCAAGTGTGTGTGCAGGCACAGGTGCACTCTCTATTCCCTCACTCTCATAGCCCGATAGGACGGTAAACCGACACGACCGGCGAGAGCAGGAGGTTGAGACACCACCAACTTCCTGACTTCGGGCAGCTACTGAGAATTTCTTGATGGTAAAACTCGATAACTGATTTTTTTGGACCGACTCGGGATTCGAACCCGGGACCTCAAGATCAGAAGTCGCAGTACTACAACCATTAGACCAACGAGGAACTCAATAACTACTTATCGCCTAAAGCATTGGTGGCGGTATTAGAAAATTCATCGCCTGATCTAGTACTGTGTAAGTTCACAAATGGTGGATTGATCATCGGCTGCGTGACGGAGTGGCTGGACATTAAGTTGCGGTGATGGATGTCGCGCATTCGAATCATACACGGAACATACATGTGTGTCACACAAATAATTGTTGCGGGTCTGGATGTTTGTCTTTGTGCAGGTGTGTAAACTGCCTCTATGATATAGCAGAAAATCCTTGTGTAACATTTCCGTGACTATTCCTTAAGAAAACTCAATGCACGTAGACCCCACGGACCGAAATCGATTAAAGCTATACCAGATTAAGTGAAAATACCATATATGTATAGCCATCTCTCAGAGAGTCATATTTGGGCAAATTGTTATTTATTAGTTACTAGCTGTGCCCGCGGCGTAGCTCGCGTATATAGGTTTTAGTTAAAGAATTTGACGTTTAGGGTAAGATAACGATTTATATCATTACTGTATCAATAAGTGGTAACAAAATAAATCGATATGCTTAAAGTTCTAAGTCGTTCTAAGCTTCAGTGTAAACGACGTTAGAAGTAGACTTAGCCGGGGCTTACAGAAAAAGGTTACGGGGACTAATAACGCGGTAACATAAAGTTGGCCATTGCAAAACGATCAGTACTGATGTCCACTCCTGCAACACACGCTGAGTGGGAAACACGCTTCAAATAAGGATGTTCGATGATCATCGATGTTAAAAATTAAAACTTCGATGTTCTAACATCGATGTTGACACATGTCAAACATCGAAACATCGACGTCAATGAACCCAAAATCGATAATTGGGCACTTGCAAACAATATCAACTAAATCTTGCATCTGCTCTGAAGATAAAAATTTTTGAATAATTCAAAATTCCTGAATGCTTTCGCTTTATTTTGTAGTGTCGTTGTCGGTTGTCGCATAATAACTATTCTACGTAAATTGATATTCAAGTTAATTGTTACTTTTCCCTTGCTATGTAAACCCACATAATTTTAGAACAATGTGTATCTACACATATACAAAAAACATCGATAATGGTCAACAATGGTTTTGAGTAGGTTATACATCGAACATCGATGTTGAGCTATCGATGCCAACTTCGATGTCATCATCGATGTTTCTGCAACATCGATCATCCCTATCTTAAAACTGAAAGGAAAGTTATTTGGTATTAGAGGGATTCTGGGTATAAAACAATATCATGAAATTTTATTGCAATTTTGCTACTTTTAGTCGAGTTTTGTTGCATAACTTTGGCGTACATATCTTTTTTCTGGTTTTTGTTACTGATGATGTTTGTGATGTTAGCTTACACGGCTCTTACAGCTTCAACGGGCTCATGGACATTAATTTATTCAGTGAGTCTCAATACGATTCAGCGGCGAAAAATCTTAACACCGCAATTCAGAAAAGGCAGATTACGTCCTTTGTGAGAAAACATATTTTTTAAATTAAGGAAACATATTTTTTTACTGTGTTTTAAGTATAAATATATTATAATAGAACGATTTTGTACACACGAATCTTTTTATTACTATTTTAGAGATTTAATGGCATCATTAAACAAATTCGAACTTACATTTCAAAATAATTATCATAACTTTCGATAGAATTAACCAATTTTAATAAAACAAATATCAGATGAACTCGATAATACGCTTTATGATTTTCTTAAGGATTTCATTGAAAAAAAGATGTTTACTCAAAACGTCATGGGTTCATAAATATTTAAAGAGAGATCAGTGCCTGCATAGTAAGCAAAAAATGAAGTTAGATCCTCGCCGAAAAACGAAATTGTTAATAGCTCTTTTAAAATTTGATTTACCACATAGAGTACTCGGCGGTAAAAAATAAAAAATGAGATTGTCACCACGCAGTAGGGCAGCGTGTAATATAAAGATCAGAAGCAAATATGAAACTCATCTACAGAAAAAAACCTTAACCTGCTCTTTTTTAATTTATTGTCTACAGATATTTCTTGTATCACATTTGTGCCATCACCATCTATCGATGAAATTGGTTGGCTTAGCTTTCCATTGACGTCCGTCGAGTTGGGTGTTGATACGTAACAGAAAAGTTACACCTTTATAAGCACACACACACAAAGTTTCAACATGCGGAAACGCGTTTAAAATAAACATTGCAAGAAAAATTATTGAAAATCAATTATTCTTGCAATGTTTATGTGTAATTCTACAGTAAAACTGGCGCCATTTTGTATGTGTCATTGTATTGTCATTGTCGACGTCAATAGGGATGTCGATTCTTTCCGAAAAAGGTCGATTTTTAAATCGATTCAAATCGTAAGCTGATGTATCGGTTCACAAAAAATCGATTTCTAAAATATCTATATTTTTTTAATGTTTGTAAATATAATGTAAATATAAACCCATTTTATGAAAAACAAGAAAGATACCATGATAAATGATCTCTTATTGAAATTTGTTTTATTTTAACAGTACCTATTAGGGCAGATAACAAATTAAATAGGTTAGGTTCAACTTATGTCAAAGAAACGAATTGATTGACCCCAACTCCACCTGGTACGAGTCTGTCCTACCCCTAGAGTGGTTTTATAGAGCCGGAGGCGCGTAGAGGGAGCAGCCTCCGCCTGCTGTAACAAATGCCTGCGATTTTTTACGCTAAGGCGTAGAGGCTGCCCTTCCCGCAGCACCGGAGACGTAGTCTTAAAATAGATACAGGAATCCTTCTGAATCAGTCTCCTTATTTTTTTATGATGAAGGGAATTTTTTTCTCATAAAATGGATTTATATTTACATTATAAATGCAATCATGAAAAAAAAATATATTTTAGAAATCGATTTTTTGGAAATCGATACATCAGCTAACAATACGAATCTATTTAAAAAATCGATCTTTTTCGTAAAGAATCTACATCCCTACTGACTAAAACTAATAATAATAAAAAATGGCGTCAGTTTCACGGAGGGAATTGACATAAATATTGCAAAAATATTTGTATTTCAATATTTTTTTCTCAAAAAGTACGTGTTTCCGCATATTGAAACTTTGTGTGTGTGCTTATAAAAATGTAATCTTTCTGTAAAATACGTATCAACACCAAACTCGACGGACGTCAATGGAAAGTCGTACCAATTGATTAACTATTGTAATTTATATTTAGATAATAAGGTTAATACATTTTTGTATATATTTATTACGTTCTTTATGTAAATCTTTTGTTTACTGCGTTTTAGATATAATTATATTATTGTAGAACATTATTTTACATCATTTAATTATGTTATGATTTATAAAGTTAAGTCATCGCGCGCTCTGACTAGATACCGCGCTCCATGCAAGTAACAGCTCCGTGAGTGCGGCATCTTAATATTGTAGTGTGTATAAGACAATTTGCAAAAATTGTATATGCCAGCAGCTTAACTATTACCCGATTAATGGGAAAATTTATTTTATGCTATGGCTTAGTAGTTAAGTTCATAGTTATGAATGTATTCCAGAAATACTTAAAAATGAATAGTTTATTAATAACGAATGTATCAATATATTTGTGTATATTATGTATAGGTTTTTCTTCTGAACAAATGACATATACATGATAAGGCCTCCTTTTTATCAGTTTAATTTTTTTATTTACATGTCTAACTAATATTCACAAATTATTTAAAAAAAATAGTTATATACAGGGTGTTTTTGGAACGCTCCCGAAAACTAAGACAGGCGACAACACCAAGTATACCTTTGATCATGGGTCACAAATAAATTCGATCCTGATGAAAAAAAAATCATCTTTTTACAAGGTTTTATTAGCTTTATTCACGCGCCATCATGTTAGTACAGCTAAATGAAACGATAATTTCATAAAAAATGTCATGAAAATACTGAAACATAAAACCAGCAGTGGAATGATATCACCTGACCTGAGCTAGATAAAGGTCAATGTACGCGTGAACACAAATTCGCGCGGCCCGCAACTAGCGGGCCATCCCACAATACCTAATAATTTACAACACGTGTCTAAATACCTAACTTATCTACTTAACCTACTATTTTGCCACTGTGCTTATCTCCACGTAGCCACTTTAATCCGAATTTACAGGTTAAATAACCCAAATAACTGGTTCGATTCCCCGCTAATGAAGAAATACTTAAATGAAATGTAACCAAGGTTGGAGTCATGCGTTTTTATTCATCGTGTAGGTATGTTTATTATTCTCATGTATTCAGTTATGTACCTATTCAGATTAGTCTAGTACTAAGTTATTTAAAAAAAAATAGGTATGAAACAGCTTACTGCTCTAAATCCTCCGTGGTCTTATGAGATGCGGCTCAAATTGTGCTCCATTCATTTCAAGGCAGATTTGGATGCAGGCGGGGCATCATCGTGTGGTCTTCGACACAGTCCGTACGTTGTTTCTCGAAAGCATCCACGATCCTTTGGCGCATTTCTTCAGCACTATCACATTCACGATTAAAAACCCTTTCTTTCACATACCCCACAAAAAGAAGTCTAACGGAGTCAGATCTGGTGGGCGAGGTGGGCAAGCGTGTGGTCCTAGTCTGCCGATCCAGCGATCATCAAATAGCTCATTGA